GTTTAGGGTTTTGCAGCGACATACAAGAGCCTCTTCTTGTGTTGTCAGTGGCCTTGGGAGATGCAGCAGCTGCAGCAACTGCTGCTGCTGCTGCTGCTGCTGCTGCTGCTGCTTAGGTGTATTGGCTGTGTACTTGGTGCTGCAGACTGCTGCTGCTGCTGCTGCTGCAGCAGCAGCAACAAGGGGCCTTACCAGCACATCGTTGAACACCTCCTCAACTGCAGCAACACACAAACCCTAAACCCTAAACCCTAAACCCTAAACCCTAAAACCCGACCCTAGTCGCATGCATGCATGCGGCCCTGCATTCTAAAGCAGCAATTCAAGCAGCAGCAGCAGCAGCAGCAGCAGCAGCAGCAGCAGCAACAGCAGCAGCAGCAGCAGCAAAGCCGCAGGCAGCAGCAACTTGTGCTGCAGGCGCTTCGCTGCCTCCAGCAGCCTCAGCAGCAGCAGCAGCGACAGCAACAGCAGCAGCAACAGCAGCAGCAACAGCAGCAGCAGCAGCAGCAGCAGCAGACCTGCAGCAGCTCCTTCTTTTGTTGCTAGCAGGTGCCGCGTGATTCTACCAAATGCAACAAACCACTCTGTCTCTGCTGCTGCTCGTAGTTCCTGCTGCTGCTGCTGCTGCTGCTGCTGCTGCTGCTGCAGCTGTTGCTGCTGCTGCTGCTGCTCTCGTGCTGCTGCTGCTGCTGCACTGTCTCTTAACTGCAGCAGCAAGTCGGTCATCTCCAGCAGCAGACGCTTCGTCAGTGTTTGCTGCAGCGCAGCAGCAGCAGCATGCAGCTGCAGCAGCAGCTGCTGCACTGCTGCTGCAGCTGCTTCTCTCTCTTGCTGCCAATCTGTCAACTTGCTGCTGCTGCTGCTGCTGTTGCTGCTGCTGCTGCTGCTGCTGCTGCTGCTCTGCGGAGACACCAGGAGGGCTCTAAGTGCTGTCTCCTCTTGCAGCTGCGTGGGCGCCAGCAGCGCAGCTTCTGTTGCTGCTGCTGCTGCTGCTGCTGCAGCATCATCACTAGCAGCAAAGGCTGCAGCAGCAGCAGCATCGATTCCTGTTGGGAAAGGCGATGCTTCTGCTTCTGCTGCTGCTGCTGTTCCTGCTGCTGCTGCTGCTGCTGCAGGCTCTGGCTCAGCTCTTGCAGTTGCTGCTGCTGCCGTAGACCCTGCGCCGTCCTGCTGCTGCTGCTGCTGCTGCTGCTGCTGCTGTTGCTGAGTACGGGGGATACCGTAGAAGTCGATTGCTGCTGCTAGGGTTTGCTGCAGCTGCTGCACCTTCTCGTTGACTGTCTGCAGCAGCAAGCACTTTGTTATGTCAGCAGCAGAAAGGGAGACAGGCAGCAGCAGCGGCAGCTGCTGCTGCTGCTGCTGCTGTTGCTGCTGCTGCTGCTGCTGCTGCTGCTGCTGCTGCGGATGTCCTAGGGACCTGGTCGCCACGGCTTTGGCTTGCTGCATCAGCTGCTGCAGCTGCTGCAGCGCAGCAGCATTATCTAGTTTTGCTGCTGCTGCTGCTGCTGCTGTTGCTGCTGCCTCCCAAGCGCTAACATCGTTGCTCCTGCTGCTGCTGCTGCTGTTGCTGCTGCTGCTGCTGCTGCTGCTGCGCTGCAGCATATCTGGCGGGAGAAGCAGCTGCTGCATCTCATGAACCAGAGACTCAACAGCAACAGCAGC